CCTGAATAGCTCTGATTTACCAGGACTTATTCCTTGGCAGACACAGGATCAGAATGGCAGAGCCTGACAGTAAATATTTTAGGCTTTACACAAAAGCAGTCGCAGACAGCACAAAAATAAACAAATGAAACTTTATTGACAAAAGCAAGCTTATGGGATGGGATGTGGCCTGTTTCCTGAGTCAGGAGCTAACTGTCATACACACTGTCCCCTTGCACATTCATTGTATATGGGTGAGGCCCTGTTTTGACACAGTATCCCAGCATTTGACTTAGAAACTGCAGGACATTCATGTTTTATATGTGCCGTATGGTAGAAATAAGGAACTCGCTAATCCTTTGTGGCTTGAAAAAAATTAGTTAAATTTATTATTTATCTTTATGTCTATGGATATTTTGGCTGTATATATATCTTTGTATCCCTGCTACCTATAGCAACCAGAAGAGAGTGTCAGATTCCCCATAACTAGAGTTACAGACAGTAGTAAACCTTCATGTAGATGCTGGGAAAGCAGATGCCCCTGAAATAAAAACCTAATAGAGCCTTTCTAATGCTCACCATCACAGAGTCCACAGGCAATTGTGGCATTGGTCACATTTTATTAGACGTTTGTGGTCCAAGTATGACAAAGCCTAAGGGCCAATGGGCTAGCATTCAGGCCTCAGCATTGAAGACAGCGTTTATAATTGGGTAAGGTCATAGTAAGAGAAACGTGGAAGGGGGCGGACTTGTCACTTCAACCCGTTGACAAGGGGAGATGTTTCCGATAGGTTTCAGGTTGATGTGTCCTTTCAGAACCAAGTGTCCTTTGCAGTGGTTGAAAATGGGATCCACAGGCACCAGGGCATGCAGGCAAAACATGCATCCACATAAAAAAAGAAATTAACAGAATAAATGTAACCCTAGATTTGGGCTTGAAACCTAAAGCAAAATGCTGAATTAATGGTATTTACTTAGAGAAAAAAAACCAACTCCAGTCTTATCTGGATACTTTGGGAGAAGAACGCTTTCTCCACATAGCTTCCAAAGAACAAAGTGAAGGGGCTGAAGGTAGACCCAGCGTGACTTCTCAAGGGAATGGAGGTAAATCCATGAGGTTGACAAGGTCATTGTGGCACAGAACAGGCCAACCAACTGTGGGGAAGTAGAAACAGGGACATTGGCAGAGGGAGCCTTATGTTTTCTGCTGCTAAGGCTTATAAAACATGAGATGACAGGAGGGTGGTGCAGATTTCCAAGCTTTGGGTCCAGAGTAGATGTGAGGACAGATAAGGGCTGTACTGCAGCAGCAAGCTTGCCTAAAAGCAAAGGACAGTGGGTGAGTCAGGGAAACGAGATGGGAAGAAAGAACAGCCAGTCCAGAATTCACCAACAGCTAGTGTGCTGCCCACGCAGGACCCTCAGCCTTTCCTAGTCTCTGACTGCTCATCTCCAAAGTGGGGCTACTCATCCTGACCTCAGAATGCTAGCTGTACCCAAATGAGGCTCTGGGAAGCCATGGTGGGAAGGTCTAACCAAAAGCCACAGTAGCAATAGCGACAATCACTGGAAGTCAGTTCGGAGCCCTCCCCCACACTAAGTGCTTTATTTACCTTATTTCCAGGGATTAGTGGTTGGCTAAATAATGGTCTGCCAAAGAGCCCAACATCGTCATCTCAGAAATCTGTGGGTGTCACACTAAATAGTCAAAGGGGCCCTTGAAAATGAGACCAAATTAAAGATCTTGTGGCCAGAGAGATGTTGTAAATGTACTTTCTAGGTTCCTTAAAAGGGGGAGGAGGCAATCATAGTAAGATCCTAAAAAGTTCGAATGACCTAAGGAGGGGAGCATGGTCCGAGGAATGACTCCCCTTCAAGTTACAGTATGGAGAAAACAAACCTCCACCCCCCAGAGACTCCCAAGAAGTGCACTCTCCTGGACCCACTTTAGACTTAGGACCTCCAAACTGTAGGGGAATAAATTCAGGCCTCCGAAGTCCTGGTCATCTGTTACAGCAGCAACAGGAAGCCTGTACACATCTCATTCCTGAGATCACACTTGCTTGGAGTTAAGTCTTGACACTGCCTCTCGCTTTACTGGATAACAAGAGGACGGTGTGTGTTCTAGGCATATTCTTAACTTCTCATGAGTGCAGGGCACACACTTTGCCAATGGAGTCACCTTTCCACCCCTTGATGATCGGAGTTAAAGGGTAAGACATAGAGCCACAGCCCAGAGCCTACCTTCGTATAAGAGGCTCATGCTCAGTGAGATCACAGTTATTACTCCTGTGTTGCAAAGGAGAAAAGTAATGAGATTCTGAAAGTTATCCTCGGTGACGTAGGCTATAAACGGCAGAGCCAGACTCTAATGAGGGCTCTGCCTTTGAGGCCCATGCTCACAGGCTCTGCCCCTCTGCACTGGGGGACCTCATGCCAACTCTCGTTGAATGCCAGCTGCTTATGCAGGACCTAAGAGCCAGACAGAGCATGGTGCTCCCCCTCCCTGGGCCAAAGCTGCCAAGACCAGAAATCAAAGGAATCTGTGTTTCTTAGCAAAACAGCAACTGTGGCTTCCAGGGCAATCAGTGTGTCTAAGAGGTTAGCAACCTTCTGACATCCCTGGGCCAGCCAGACTCAGGCAGCAAATCATGAAAGTGTGAATACTGTGTTTAGTCATTTGAGCTCTGGAATAATTGCTATTATCGTAAATGTTTTATAGCTCTCATTACGGCTCGCATTTAAATATCAGTGTAGTAATACGTTAATAAGTCATTGCTGCTGGGCTACTGCTGGATTCCTGTTCCAGCTGAAGCCTGAGTGTAGCTACCCTGTGTCTGCAGCCAAGTGGTGAGGGCTGGCTGTGAACTCCACTGAGGGTAACGGACTAGGCCTGTTGAGCCTTTGCGTAATGAAAAGGATGCTCAGAGTTCTGTTCGGCAGTCATTCTGCAAACCTAGCCACAGGTGGGCAAGGTGGCTTTTCTATTTTGCCAGTAGCTGCTAAGCTCTGTTGGTAAGATCTGAACCCAGCACTCACCTGCTCCCTTCCTGGCTTTGTTCTTTATAGGCACTGCCTTGCATGTAATGCTGTCCCCTGAGTGTAGATAGAGCCTGAAATTCCGAGGTGATTGGAAAAGTGACAGCTTTGCGTCTCTCCTGGAGACTTACTCTACTGATACAGAAGAGAATGGCAACCCAGCTTAATGGGGGTGATGAATTCTTATTTAGTGTTGCCTTATTAAAATACTCTAAAGGCTTCCTGGGTGGGTGGACAGACAGACAGACAGACAGACACACACACACACACACACACAGACACACACGGTGTTAAGTGGATGTGTGCATCTCTACTGAATGCCTAACATAGTACCAGACACACAGTGCATATACAGTGAATGTCAGAGGGTCGGGGGTTGGGGGGAACAAGAACTAGACTCCTTTCCTCTATGTGTCCCCACCCCAACCTTCCTCCTGTTGGCCAAGCAAGTAATGGAGAGACCAGGGTATTTGAGGAGTGTATTTCTGTGGTAGATATGGTCACTGAAACCCTGCTTGGGACTAAGGTCACAAGGGCTGGAGAAGTAATCTGTAGGATCCCTTGGGTTGGGGCATGGGGTGACAGTGTTTGGTGTTTGGGTGAAGTACCCTTTCTCTTTGGAAGGTTGAAGTGAGGAATTGAACCCTCCAGGATAGGACTAGATTCTCTCCAGCGTGGTCATTAAATTGATGAGCTATATTTACTGAGCACATACGACATGTCCTGAGTCTGTAGTTCACAGAGAAGGCGCTTTAAGATAAAGGTATTTACCACGAGCCCACAGCTCGTGACTTCTTGACGAGCAGTGGCCCCTTCCTGAGCCAGTGAAGACCAATGGCGGAAGAGAGATCCAGTGCTTGCTCTTTGGAATGCAAAGAAAGCAGGGGTGGGGTCAGAGACAGAGAACCAGGCTTAGGCTTCCCAGGCATTGCAGCCCCTCCAGTGTGTAGCCTGAACTGAAGAAGCCTCTGCAGAGAGCTCTCCCTCACTACCACATTCCTCTGTGCTTCAGAGTGGGTCTTTTTATTGGGTAAACTGAGGCAGTCTTTTCTTTGATCCTGGTTTCAATTCCTCAGCAGCTTCATCTCATTATGTCTGGTTGTACAGCTCACATCTTTCTCCGTGTTTTTTTCTCTGCCCATGGGACTAGCCGGTCCTAACACTGCCTCACGGGAACTCCATCCACACTCAAGGAGAGCACCGGAAAGAGGAGAGTTAGCTCCTCCTGAGATAAGATACGGCTGGAAAATACTGATTAATGTAGCATTGTGTACCGGCAGTGTGTGCTGAACAGAGAAGGGTGGAGTGGGAGAGGGCTTAGTCAGATCCCACCCGCAGTGCTGAGCAGCCGGTGGCAAGGCTGGAAAGTTCCCTTGCTTGGCTGCAGCGCCCCTCATCATGTGTAACAAGAGTGTAACTTCTCCTTTGGGGGTTCTGCACTACCAACCAGAGAGAGCAGATCCTCCCTCTCCCTAAGAGAGAACAGTCGTATGTAACCGACTCGTCTCTGTAAGAATTAAAGATTCTGGGGCCGGAGAGGTGGCTCAGCCACTCTTTGTGTGTACTGCTCTTGATGAGGACCCCGTTCCTCTCACAGCACCCATGCCAGGCAGTTGCAGGAGTCTCTGATGCCTCTGACCAGTGTGGGCACTGGCACCCATGTGCCCGCAAACACATTCATACACGTGATTCAAAATACAATGGATCTCTGAATACGAAAAGAATTAAAGGTGTTGTAATGAGCTACCCAACACAGCAAGACTGAGTCATGGATTTACCGTTCCAGACAGTGGGGGAATCTACATGAATAACAGAACTGTGGATTCCCCATCGTCTGCAATTTCCACTTGTCTCTAGATACCTAGCTGTTCTGGTTTTTACCTGTTGGATTTTTTTTTTTTACAACCTCATATGTTCGTCCCCCTGCACCTATGAACATCTCAGGGCCTCTCATTCATAACGTTTTTCCTCTGTTTCTGCAGCACCCTCAACAATAACAACATCAGCCGCATCCTGGTCACCAGCTTCAACCACATGCCGAAGATCCGGACTCTGTGAGTAACGATTGCTTCCTTCCCGCCTTCCTTCTACGTTAAGCAGCCCTGGGTGCTGCTCTCTCTGCTTGTGAAGCCTGCTAGGCACACGGTTCCCACATCCAAAGTCATAAAGCAGGTGGGGACTTGGTGTGTGAAGTCAGGAGGAGACCAGAGTCATGGTTCATCCCTGCTTCCTTGCTGTTGGTCTCTCGTCACCCCTAAACTATGGGAAGTCTTCCTGTACTTCCTGTGTTTGTTGTTTGATGGGAAATGAATTAGCTTTCTGTTGCCAAAGAACACAGAAAACTTAGCTGGTGAGACCTCCATTGATTCCACTCATGCTGTACCCCATCGGTAGTTCTGTCCTAATGTGACACTGGCAGTTGTTTCCCTTCTGGGAAGGGAGGAGTAGTCTCTGTCCTTTTTCTGTCCCGACAAGATGCTACCTGCTATATTCTCCTGCTCTCTGAGCAACATCGGGATATTAGAATACACTGACTTAGCACTTTATCTTGTAAGGTCTTGGATAAGCTTCAGCCTCCAGGTTGTGTGCTGCAGAAACGAGCCCGTGACTCTGGTTATGTGGTCACTCACTCTGCCTTCAGCCAGTAACCCGCTTGTAGCTTTTGCTGCAGTAGAACCCAGGTTGGCTTTTCCAAAGAGATTCCTGCTCCATGTTCTTATCTCTGAGACTGTTCAAATCACAGCACAAAGGGAGAGCCAGCCCCTGACAGCTTTTAACCAAGTACATTTAGGACCAGAGCAAAGAACTGAGATGCCCTCTGCCCTTAATTGGCGCTGTGCCCTCTTTTCCTTCCTCTATAAATAGGGCTGGTGGGGAAGAGCACATGCAGCTAAGCACATCCAGTGCCCGGCTCCCAGTAGATGGCATTTTATATATTATCATCACACAATAGATGACGGCATTACATATTGTCACCACACAATTATCTCAAAATCTGAGCTGACCACTGCAAGCTCATCTAGGCTCCACAGGCAACATAAACGCCAAGAGAATGCAAAATCCTTTAAGCAGTAATTCCCTGACCGGCAGCTCAGAACCATCTGGAACTTTCCACAAACAAAGTCCCAGGACCACCCTAGGCCTCCGAAGTGATGACCTCTTGGGGTCTTGCCCATAAATCTGTTGGCAGTGAGACATCATGTTCTTGTAGTTTAAATGCATTCCTCCGAGAGTGAGCTTATCTCTTGATGAGAATAAAACAAAGATCAGGGAAGAGGTTGTAAGGAAACAACAACAATAACAACAACAACAATAATAATAATGTAAGAAGAAATAATAGTAAGAAAAAAGCTTAGCAGTTTGAAGTGGGCAGATCTAAGTTTACGTGCAGGCTCCACTACTTACTTAGGACATACCTTCATCTTTCTGTGATTTGGGTCAAGGACTTCATAATACATGCTTATGTTGGATTCACTGTGAGGACACACTATGATATGTGCTTATTGTAGGATGTGGACAGTAGTATTAGTTATTATCCATAGTGATCATCCCAGACCAGTCTCCATCGCTGCTCCCCAGATTCTTGTTGGATACCTTCAGAAGACAGCACACCTAGGAACCTGTATCATTTTTCCTTCCCTCTGAAAATGGGACAGGACATTAACTGAATTTTAAGGAGATACCATTTGGTCTTCTAAAACCACAATTAAATTGAGGAAGCATGAAGCCCAGGTCCCAAAACAGGAAATCAAAAGTGAGTCTCAGGACACTGGGTCTGCTCTCCCAAGGGACTGAGTATCCAGAAGTTCTCACCGTAGCCTTGCAGTGCCTCCTGACACAGCCTGTGATGGGCCTCCCTCTGTGATGGGCATCCCTCTGAGCCCTTTTCAGTTGAAAAACAACACAGTGACAGAGCAAGGATTGGTCCAGAAGAGCTGGGGGAGGTCTAGCCTGGGTTCCTGGGTGTCTAGTCTGGGTTCCTGGGTGCCTGCTCAGGTGTGTTGGTGTGTTAAGGAAGAAAGTGAGTGAGGAGTCTTACCTCATTTCTGTTGTAATTTTTCTCTGTGGTCCCAAACATCCATCTGATGAATTCTGATCAATCAATCAATCTTGTCTGTTCTCTTTGCTATCTGCCTGGCTGCCATTTTCTCTAGTTTTATTCAGAGATGGCTCTGTATGGAACTCCCTGGGGATGCACTGACTAATCCCCCTTCACTGTAATTAAAGCTTTGGAGGTGGGTGACTGGTGTTGGAGAAGGATGGGGGGAGGGGAGTGGTTGGTGGGGGAGGTGGAGAAGAAGGAAGTCATAAATGGCATTTCCAAAGGAAAGCTTTTACATAGAATTCAGGATACCACATTTTATGGAAAAACATGCACTGACCCCTCTCTAAAAGGATTTGCTGGAAGTTTAATTTGGCATCTGCGGCTAAAAGGCACCTTTTGTAAATTGGTATTTGTATTCATTCGCCTTCTGCTCCACAGAGGAGGTCTCATCCGTGTGGAATATGGTTTGTCCATTCTCAAAAGATCACAGAACAGCACGTAGAGAGCGTCAGCCACCTGGCTGCTTTCATGTCTCCATAGGCGGCGGCAGCTGCGTACAGGCAGCACCACAGTTTGGAAAGGGCTGAAATCTACACTGTTTGGACATACAATAACAGCAAATATTTCTTCCATGCTGGCTGTGCACCAGGCCTTGTGTGAAGCACTCCCTGTGAGTTACTTCAACCCACAGAACAGTCCTTCCCATTTTACGGCTGGTAACGCTGAGGCCTAGGGTGAAATCACTGCCCCAAAATCAAAGGCAGCTGGAACCAATGTCAGCATTACATAACCTGACATCAGAGCTCACGTCACCCAGAGGGGTAAAAAAATGAACATGGGGCCAGGTGAGCAGAGCAAGGAGAGACCAGGCCTTCCACATGGCCCGGGGTCCCTAATGTCATCATCCTCACATCTTAAAATTGTGCAAAGTAATTAAATAATTCCCCTTCTCACTCAGAGGATCTGAACCATTTTTAGCAATTTCTGTGCCAAGTTTCACAATGCTCCTGATTATTTTTAAAAATAGTATTTAGTAAGCCAGCATGACAGTGCACATCTGGTCTGTGGTTCTGGTGTGTCTAGGGCAGGATAAAAAGTAGAGACAGGAGAACCTCTGGCATCATATGGGCCAGCTAGCCCAGTATACACAGTATGGCAGGCAATAAAGAGACCCTGTCTCTTCAGAAAGCAGGGACTGACATCCCAGGATGTATTCTTGCCCTCACATGTACTCACAGCACATGCAGCCCACATCCCCACACTCATGCAGACACACCGCACACTCACATTTCGCACGCCCAGATTCTCGAACAAACAAAAAGCGTCTTTAGTATCTGCAATGGCATTGCTCCACCCTGTCTTCCAAGCATGGTGTGAAAAGGTCGCTCGAAAGAATCTGTCCGGCTTGACCCTGCCATCATTTCCAGTCAGTAATAGCCCAAGCCCAAGGAGCTGAGCCTGTCCCCTGCCCTAGGCTTTCTGATTGAGGCTCCATGTGGCTTCTGTATCAGTTGAGGTCACTACTTTTCTGTGATTGCATTTTGGAAGGGAGAAAGTCTTGGGAAGATGGCCAGAGGGATAGAATCATCTACAGCAAGACTGAGAAGAGCAGTCATTTGGGGCTGGCCGGCTGTGGCTGAGAAGGAATCCACTTAACACCATCTTCCAGACAGAAGCCTCCAACTTTTTGGTTAACCCAGAAATGAAGCATCTGACTGAAGCCCTGATGTGCCTAAAGCTTGTCTTGTCCCGCTAAACTCTCTCACCTTCAATTGGTTCTGATGGGAACTTCTGATGTAGCCACCTCAGAGACCCACACTTTTCTCAAAGTCTTCCCTGTTGTCATACCATCATTGCATTGGTAGTTATATGCTACCAAACAGGGCACATAGAAGGAAAGCCGATTAAGTGGCTGACTCACCTGGCACAAAATAGAATCCCCTCCCCTCAGCCTACTCTACCCTGCAGCCTGCCCTGGGCTCCTTCTATCCCTTACAGAACCACTATGATAGTTGCCCAGGCACCCATTGCTACCTGATAGTGGCTGGTAGGAAATCCTCTCATCTCCTCCCCACTGTTTAGGAAATGTGTTCTTGGCACAAAGTGACCGTGCTCATTAGCAAGCAGAGTCTTGCCTACCCTCCTCTAACTGAGGTCTCTCTGAGGGCTTGGGATTTTGACCACAGCGTCCTTCCCAAATGTTTTATGATGTTCAGAACTCAGGCTAAGGGGAGGTCATGCTTGGATTAGCTTAGAAGGTTTGGTCTTGGAAACTAAAAGATGTTCGTTTCCAAGTATGTTAGAACTTTATAGTTCCTATGTCTAAGGCCTCAGAGCTTCTGAAAGTATGTCTGACTTATGCTGAAATACAAGAGGTACTTAATATATACAGAAATGTTTAGCAAAAAAAATATACATTTTATGTAGGTTTGGAGTTCATTTAATGCACCTGAAATGGCAGGGTTTGGAGCAGCCCCAGTGGAGCTGGCCTGCTGGGATTCTGTGCCCGTGGATGACAGAGGCTCAGCCAGCACCAGCCTGAGTTAGTTACACTTGGCTAGTGTTTGGCAATGTTGACCTTGTGCTAAGTGGGATGTGGTCAAGGGCTCTTCAGTTCTCTCATTACAGAGCAGACATGATCCAAGCCACTCCTCTGGGATGCCACGCTGTATTAATGAGCTTGACAAGGGGCTCTCGACAGTCCCAAGATAACAGCCGACTGATTAGCACATCCTGCATTACCCATTTGAAATTGGCAACAAATCTCTATGCTCTCTCGCTACTAAAACTCACGCACCTCCAGTTCTAACACCTGTAGGGAATATGGAAGTTAGAAACACTGGCAAAAAGTCCTTAAGGAGGGCCCTCTAGAAGCTCCTGAGTAGCCTTAATTTGCCTCCCAGCTCATAGAAGGAAGTTCAAGTCAGTTAACCAGACAGGATTCCCCTCAGAAGTGGAACAGGCTGGTCCCGTCTAGGGAATCTTACTCACTCTAGAAAGAAACTGCTCTGGAGCCACAGCTCCCACTGAAGAAGAACTGTAGTCTGTTTAGAGTGGATAGGAAATCTTTCTGTAGCCATCAAGATCAGTCATAGTAGGTAACCTCCAGATAAAATAGAACCTGACAAGGAGGAGACAGGCACCACTAAGAGAGTATAAAGAATTCCGAGAGTCTGCTCAGAGCAACACCTTATTTAACAGGAGGTAGAGAGAAGAACCATCCCAGAAAACACCTCTCTCTCTGTGCCTTCTCACCCTGTCTCACATTCACAGTTGTTGCCACTGGCTTAGAACTCCCCACATTTCATGCCATGGGATCACAAAGGACATTTAAGAGGCAATGAAGGAGCCTGGAGCCGATCTCAGTCACACGGCAGCACAGACAGGAGGAGAAACAGAACTCCATTTAGGCCAGCTGTGAGTCCTACACGCCTCCAGTGTAGCAGGGTGACCCTGTCGGCTTTGACTCACACTTGGACATGTGATGTCATTCTCTGTCATCACCCTGTGGTAATGTCATTCTCCCACCCCTCTGTGCTGATGCCTGCTTGCCAGGAAAGAACAAGGGCAGAATTACTCTTCAGACACAGAAATTGCACAGAACCTCCAGGATACCCATGGGCTGTGGCCTACACATGAAAATATTAGTGCATGGTAATAAAAAGACCAAGGCTTCTGGTTTTGTTTGTTTTTGTTGTTTTCTCTTTTTTTCCCCTTATGCATAGGGGTCATGAATGCTGCCATAGGCTCGTGAAAATTATCATGCAGGGGACACAGTCACCAGAGATCTGGTCTACTCTCTTCTCTGTGTAATGGCGTCTCTCTCTCCTTCTCCAAGGCGTCTCCACTCCAACCACCTATACTGTGACTGTCATTTGGCCTGGCTCTCAGATTGGCTTCGACAGCGGCGAACCATTGGCCAGTTCACCCTCTGCATGGCGCCCGTGCACCTGAGAGGCTTCAGTGTAGCAGATGTGCAGAAGAAGGAGTATGTGTGTCCAGGTAAGCCGGCCCTACCTGTTCTCCCCTCCCTAGGCTAAGGTCCACATACCCATCAGCCCTGTCTATCATGACCCTGGTCCTGATCATACCCATCCCAGAGCTTGGTATAAAAGGAATCTCATAGTCAGCTGAGGTGTGTAGTAAGGAGTTGGAGAGCTTGCATTCTGCAAGGAGTTCAGAATGCTGTTGATATCTAGAACAGAAGATTCAAAAGGGAAAAAACCCTCACAAATCACTCTGTGTTGAGCCTCGTAGCCACCTGGTGCTAGGAGACGTCACATTTGATGACCAGTGTGTCATGAGAACACAGGTGTAATGGAGGTATTTTAGCATTGACTAGCACCAACTAACTGTCACTAACCCTTCTGTCACCCAAACACTTGTAAAAATGGAGATGGGATGATGTGGGCTGTAGACTAAACCTGTCTAGCCAGAAGTCCTAGCCTTCCCCTCGCTGGTGTGTGACTTCGGTAAGTTACCGTTCACCTGAGATAGAAAGAATGCCAGAACACAGAATGGGTGGGAAGAGTAGGTAAGATGACATCTCAAGAGCACTTAGTGTGGTACTTAGTAAGCGAGCGGTAAGTGGAATTTGATTGTTGCAGCTTAGTAGGCTCACAGAGTGTACTGAGAAAGCACATGGATCTGTGGGTGACTAGCGTGTAGTAGGGACTCAGATTGCCTACAGAGCACTTGGAACTGAACCACACAGACACGTGAAGAGGACAGCTCAAATCTCCAGGAGTGAGAGGTGACTGAGTGACCCAGGATCTTCCTGGAGGGGCGTAGCTTTTAAACCAGACCCTAAATTTTGTTTGCTTCTCTTTACTTCTACTAACTCTTCTTGTGGTGAAGAGGTGGAGATAAGTCCTGGGATCTGGAGGAAGGGAAAACACACACACACACACACACACACACTTCCCTAAGGGTCACATAGCTTTCCAGGATCCCAATCCTGGACTGGAATGCAGTGGTCTCTAAAAGGCTAAGCCCGGGCAGCCAGGGCACACAAGGAGCCCACCTTGTGTTTCTCTTCTTAGCTATGGCTTGCTTTCCCTTCTGTTCGAATCTGCTTTCTTCTGCTGTGATAAGACAAAGAACAGAAGCAACAAAGGGTTTGTTTCATCTTACAGCTTACAGTCCATCACTGAGGGAAGTCAGGACAGGAACTCAAGGCGGGAGCTGAAGCAGAGGCCGTCGGGGAGCACTGCTCACTGGCTTGCTCCCTGTAGCTTGCTCAGCCTGCTTTCTTCTACAACCCAGGACCTCTCCCGCCTATCAATCAATCTTTTGGAAAACGTCCTCTACACTTCCTTATAGGCCAGTCTGATAAAGGTGTTTTCTCATTGAGCATCCCTCTTCCCAGCTAACTCTAACTTGTATCAAGTTGATGGAAACAACCAACAACAGCAACCAGCACGCCACTAAGAGCTTAACAGACTCAGTGTATGTTGCCTGGCCCCACAATGGCCAGGAGTACAGGGAGCGTGTGACTCATTCAGGTCTTGAATTCACCCGTGCCCCTCTCCTCTCTTCCCTGCTCTCTCTCCGTCACATTACCACGTCATCCCACTATTTATTCTCCAAAAGCATTTTAACACATCCCGGAGTAGTACCTCACTAACTTCCTACAGACGCCCACTTAGAAACCACTTCCCATCAAACACATATAATAAAACCGTTTATCACACAGGCACCAAAATCAAATACAGTGACTATAATTACAGTAATTATCAGGCAAAGGGTGCAATATCGGCATAAGTGCCAGTGAAAGAAATAATTACAGAGTGCAGGAACCATCCAAGAGCTACCGAGGCAAACTAATTAGAGAGGATGTAAAAACACTACATGACAGGTGGGTTCTGAGAGTAAAATGGCAGGTGACCGTGGTGCTCCTCTGTTGTAGAAGCCACCTCTCGTCAGCACACTGCCCAGACCGTGCCTGTCCAACAGCAGTTGGACATGAGAATGAGGTTGCCCGACCCTGGTCCCAGAAATGCCAGTGACAGAGCCGCAGCCCTTTGAAAAGCCTAGATCCAGTAACGGTCTCCTTAGCTAAACATAGGGTTAGAACATCCTTACTCCCTTCCGTGCTTAAAGAAGCCAAACCTAATGCATGTGATAGTCCTTGTGATTCTAGCATGAAGCCAGATGTCTTTTGAGGTTGTGAGAACTTCACCCCCAAGTTCTTGACATCGACATGCTATGAATCTCACCATCTTGACGACAGTAATATAGAGGGGCTTCTCCTTTGTGTCAGACACCCAAGGATTAAAACATAGACTGTTCTGGGAAAGTGGGTGCTTTGGAAAGGTCAAAGTTCATTACAGTGCTTAGGGGTTCTGGTGAGCCCCTCTGAGGAATGGACACTTCCATGATGTGTGAGATACAAGAGGTGCAAACCCTACATCTCACCTCCTCTGTGTGAGGGATACTAGAGGAAGCAGTGTGAAACAAAGGCAGTTAAGACAGTAGTGACCAGTTCTGAGAGGCCCTGAGGAGAAGGTGACAGAGAAGGGCTGTCCTAGGTCCTCACTGCCTTTGTGTACCACCGTGGAGGGTGCAGGCCCACCCACCCCAGGCCAGAGCCCAGCAAGGCATCTGAGTAAGACCGCCTGGTGTGGTCCTGGCTGTGATTGTCTAAAGCTGCCCAAATACAAACCTAACTGCTCACTGAGGGGACTTTGGTGAAGGACAAGAACTTCTGAAGCATGTGGATCACCACTCAGAAGCAACAGGGGCATGGAGCACCTGAGTCTCCCCTGCCATCCCCAGAGCCCTGTCAAAGCTGCAGGAGAAAATCCCCCCTGGCCCTTCACTGGTTGCTAAACCTTCCCCAAAGGCAGCTCCAGAGATAGGAAAGACCTTATCTCACTTAACTGGGAGGCCCTTCCTGCCCAAGGCCCTGATAGTGTCCTTGAATTAAATCCAGCCTTCCGGAGTCTGGCCTATTCTCACCCCCAAGAAGCTACAGAGATAGGCACATTATCTCTCCAGCTATCCAGAACTCTGGTAGCAATGCACTTAGAGAAATGCATCTCCTGTCAGCTGTATCCTTCCAGTCTAAGACGTTTATTTCCTCCTTTTGGGGAAACAATTGAGAATTTTTTTAAACAGGTGGGGGACGGGGAGGGGAATATGTCTCTATTTTATCTTTTATCAGAGTGTCTTCTGTGTGGTACAGCCTGCCTACTGGGCTTCCTTCGGTGACTACTGAAGGATTTCTCTGTATCTTTTGTGTCTAGAGCCTGAGGGCTATAAGGACCCACAGGCCATGTTTCATCTGCTTGTCCCTTGGTACAAATCAGGATTTTATCAAAGAGCGTAATACATTAGAGAAGAACACATCATGTGATTTGTGACTTTTCATTTTTTTCTCATCTTCATTTAAGGGGCTTATTTGGGAGTTCATATCCTAAGATTTATTTTTTGTGTTGTTTCCTTTCTGATATCTTAATCTCAGAGAGTTCCTACCTGTCATTATTCATAATTTATGGCTATTTGTTAACTCTTTGACCTCCTGAATCAATTATCTCTTCCCTTTGAATGTCTTTGAGCCCATTGATTTGTCTATCTGCTTTCAGACCTGTGGCCTTGAATATGAAATATCTTTTCATAAAGATATCAATCTTATCTTCCAGTAGTAAAGGACAAATCTCCTTCATTTCTGGTGCCCGTAAACAATGCTGGATCCAATAGCTGCTCCATAAATTTCCCCTTTTACTATTCAAAAATAAATATACTTATCTCCCTGGAAACAGAAACTTTCCTTCATTCTTTTTCTTTCTTTCTATTTGAGACCAGTTACTAAGTATAAAGATAATTAAGGTAGGCTGTGTCTAGCCACCCTTCTCCTTAGGAGGTTTTAATTAAAATACCATAATTGAACATTGCAGGAATGAGATTATTAGGTTTATTTAGCCATTTCCAAAATTATCATGCCTCTGGTATTTAAATCATGTTCATTTATATTCTCACCGTAATTGCCAGAGTTCCGTTGTCACTGAAGTCTGTTGTTGGCTTTTGAAAGGCCAGAGGCCAGTTGGGAAGCTTAATTTGAATACTGGAATTAATTTATTTCAACACACTCACAAGGCCATTGGATATTTTTACTCTGCACTCTACTGGGTGATATATATATATATATATATATATATATATATATATATTGATATTTTTTTAAATCAGAAAGAAACCCAAGCAAGTTTTCCCCTTGCTAGTGTAGCTTACACAAGTCCATGTCTCAGCCCTGCCTCCTACCTCCAGGTTCTCAGGCACCACACATTTTCAATTCTATGGCAATAAAAAGCAGCATTTAAGGTGGGGTTATTTTTTTTTTCCCCAGAAGAGACAGAAAAGCATTCAGCCAGATGTTCCACAGCTCTGTGGTCTTCAGTAGTTTCTTTAGCCTTCATAGTCTTCAGGCTCATCAATGTAATGGGACTGATAGAGACAGAGCTTGAATCACAGCTGAATTCACTGAGGATCAAGTGGTCTCATATATTCTGGGCACCGAATGAGGCACAGGTTTCAATTTGTGGGTGCTGGCTGCCTCTATGAGAAAGCTGTCCGTTCTTGACATTTCCGTGGGTCCATCCGGGGCAATTTTAAACCATCCTATTTTGCCAGTTAGGAGAACAAAGATGAGGTGACACCTGAGCAGGGGCCAGCTCCTAGATCATGCTTTCTTCTCTCTGGACGCTAGGAGAGGACCTGCATGGTGAGCCCAGGAGGGATCACTAATGCATTACTGTGCCACAGCCACAGCAACCTTCCTGAGGAAAGGTTCATCTGGGGACCACTCCTGCATCATCCTCCCCTGGTCTGGGAAACCCTGATCTCAAAGGGCTAACCTAGGACAGCCCTTCTTTGTGACCTTCTTCTCAGGGCCTCCCAGACTGGTCACTGCTGTCTTAATTGCCTTGTTTCACAAGGCTTCCTCTAGCACCCCTTATCAGAATCTCATAAATTACCTAGCACACAGAGGAGGCGAGACTTGGGATTTGTACCCAGGAGCATCTCCCACTCCAGGAAGCTGTCCAGGACATGTGTGATGGTTCCCCTGGCTCAGACCTCATGCATTTACCCTTTGATGTAGACTGCCTGTTCTGGCAGTTTTCCTTGGGGAAGTCATCTACACTTCAAAAGCCCTGGCATCTGAAGCCAGCTGTTCCCAGTCTTCCTCTTATTGGTGAGGGTGATAGGTCAGGGTCCCTCCATGCTGGATGCTCTGCATGCTTTGTAGGAATAAAACTCACCTTAGGGTGTCCCACACCTACAGCATCCATTCTGCTAAAAGTCAGGTGGCTTGGCAGCTCCAATAAGGACCTCACAGTTTAATGGAAGCCAGTGCTTCCATCGTCCCATGCACTGCTCTGCTCTGCCTCAAGACACTAGGTCATAGCACCAGGTAGTAAGTAGGCTTTGCCAGCATCTAACTACAGAAGAGGGAACATCAAGAATATGTCCCATCTTCCAGGGCTAATCCATCTCATGTTCAACACCTGACCCCACCTACCAAAGTCAGGACACTCAGAAATCAGGGAGCCTTTCCTTGGGGGCACCCAGAAGTAACACTCACCTACCTCAGGGAGCATCCCCCCACCTCTTCCAGACTCCTAAGCCAATTCACTCATCGTTACTATCCAGAGTGAAGCCTGTTTTAAGCAGTGAGAATACAACAGTAATACAAAGAAAGAGAGAGAGAGAGAGAGAGAGAGAGGGAGGGAGGGAGGGAGGGAGGGAGGGAGGGAGGGAGGGAGGGAGGGAAGGAAGGAAGGAAGGAAGGAAGGAAGGAAGGAAGGAAGGAAGGAAGGAAGGAAGGAAGGAAAGTAAGTCATTGCCTTATAGAATTTACATCCTCAGTCTGGTCAGAGACCACAAAGGGAAAGGGGTGGGACTTCTTCCATCACTTACAGACACCGAGGGTTCTAGGGGACTGGTCCTGGTTCTTCAGTCATTCATCAGAGGGAAGTGCTTGCCAAAGGAGGGAATCTGTCTTTCAATCATACTGAAACCCAGAGTGGTTAAACAAGGAGTAATGGCCTCACCACGGTAGGGTGGTGACTGCCTGCCTGGAGAGCTGCCAGCCCAGGGTGCTGACAGAGGCTATAATTACCGTTGTTTTCTCTGTGTAATTAAAGGTGTTGTTAGTGGCCTCGTTAAGGAATCTTTTTCACAGTCTCTTTTACCCCCCTTTGGCCTTGACAGCATTCCTTGAAATGTATTGTATATGTCTGTCTGACTAAGAACCACCTAGGGAAAACCCAGACAGTTCCCAGGGGACTGCTACCTGAGTCTGGTTTAGAATTAAACCATTTCAGTGTCGAAGTCAGAGGGGCGCCTTTGAAAACTGCCATGTCACAAGCTCCTGTTGCCAGCAGGAGCCCTCGAATTTGATGCTCACCCTACCCCTGGCTTTTCTAAAGCACTCTGTACAAGTAATATTTTTTACCTGATTGGAAGAAGGGCCATCTTCAGATCCTTCTGCCCAAATGGATAGACTTGCCAGGCTCAGACCAGCATTCCCCACTCCAGGAAGCTGTCCAAGACACATGTGACAGTTCACATGCATTTACCCCTGAGGTAGATGGCCTGGTCTGGTAGTTTTCCTTGGGGAAGTTATCTATGCTTCAAAAGCCCTGGCATCCGAGGCCAGCTGTTCTCTGGCTTCCTCTTATTGTTGAGGGTGATGGGTCAGGGTCCCTCCATGCTGCATGCTCTGCACGATTTGCAGGAATCCTACATCCATTCTGCTAAAGGTCAGACGGCTTGGCAGCTCCAATGAGGGCCTCAGAATTCATGCCTTCCTAACTCCTCATCTCCTAAGACGGGAACAGAAAAGCTCAGTGTTGCCATTTGCCTAAGAACTCTCAGACAATTGGAGGCAGCATAAGACCCAATTACAATAACCATCTCAGAAGCTCTTCTAGGAAGAGTCCTTACCCTGCCAGCCATCCTTCTAAAAAGTCTATCCACTGACTGCCTCTGCTTCACAACAAAACAATGCTATACGTTAGGTACAGTCACACACACGTACCATTTTACAGATGATGGAAACTGAAGTACAAAGAAGCAAGAACAAAGTAAGAGAACTAAGATCCAAACGAAGCCATAGTACTCCACAGTTGCCAATGGCAGCCATGCACCTGCTAGCTCTCTGGGTTGCCACTTTCTCAGAATAGAAAGGCCTTCTTTCACCTTGCAGTAAAGTCAGAGTACCTTCTCTCTAAGAGCAGATTTGAGTATTAGTGTAAGTCACCAGCTCTCTGACATGTTCCATGGTACCTTTTGGGTCCTCTAGTGTGTTGCTGGTGTCTCTAAAGTCCTTACTGTCTACATTTTGTCAAGCATCTTGGTTAAGATGCTGTCTTTAAGTTTTTTGCTTTATGTGTTTATGTGAGGTAAAGGGCAGTAAGAATCTTTGGTAGGTGGGTTGGCATTTTCTGGGAAGAACAACATACTAGATAGAGCGTTAGGCACAATTTGGCTTCAACAGAAAGTAGGCCATGGGTACTCCTGGACTTGAGGTGTGAAATTCTCTACTTAGAACCTTGGAGTCTAGATGAGGACTTGCCCCAGGCTCAGCTGGTCACCTCATTCAAGCACTGTAACAAGACTCACTCGGGATTCAATTTCTCCAGTGAACACTGGCCAAACCAAAAGTCATTTTCGCCTGCAGATTTTTTCCATCTTACCCTGTTAATCTGTATCCAAAACTACAGAGCCCAAGGGGAAGTGTTTGAGCAGTGAAGGAATCTGTAGAGTCCATCTGAGCTCAATCACAGCCCTTAGTGTATGTCCTTTGGATTCTGATAGCTTAGAGGGAGATGTGGAAAGACATTGAGATGATAGTTGCAGGTACACCCAAAGACCACAGGCTGAGGACCCAGGATGCTGCTGGACTCTGTCCATCTGTGAAAAACAAACCCGGTGTCTGAGAATCTTACCTCACTGGGAGGTGGCAATCAAAGCAGAAAGGCATTGCCAGTGTCTTTAAAACATTTCAATGTGTTTCTTGCACTTAGAGTTTGGTGTGACCACCAAAGGGAGTCATGGGGGTTCATGGGGATTCTTTGGATCCTGAATTGAATTTGTAGCAAAACCTATATATGTTTGGTGTTCACAATAAACTCTTGAGATACCATTTGCTTAGGTCTTTGATAACATTTAAATGAACACTGATTCTCAGCTCAAATGTAATGAAGAACTGACTCCAAAATATATAATAACTTACTCGCCTCTTATCCAGTAAGTTTAATTTGGCTCTTCTATGGACCCAGTTGAATATAGCCTGGGTGTCACTTCTGGTCATTGTACTCATGTTTTGACAAAAATCAATGCTGCGATTGGGCAAATTCTGCCACTTTAAGCCTCTTATGTGGCTGTGACAGCCAGCAACTTTTAACCCCAGAATAGAAATTGTATCAGCTATGAGCATCCCATCACCAGATGTAAACAAAAATTCCAAGATGCTGGATATGATGAGAAAGTGGTCTTTGTGTGTGTCCTTTGGATTCTGATGGCATAGTTCCTTATGTGGTGCATGCTGGGAACTCCTCTTTCTATAAAAGAAGGAGCATGGTGGGATAATGAAGCAGGTGAGATGACCTGCAAAGCATGGGGTCAAGGCCAGACCCTCTCCCTTTTCTCCCTGAAGAGGGAGATGCCGGTTGATGGTAATTCACCAGACTGCTTGACACTCAAGCTGCATCCTCAGGAAGCGGATCAGGAGGCGCAACGCCAGGAATCTCCTAGTACCGACATGAGTTGACCATTATGTTCTGGCTCCACAGGTCCCCACTCGGAGGCTCCAGCCTGCAATGCCAACTCCCTCTCCTGCCCTTCTGCTTGCTCATGCAGTAATAACATTGTGGACTGCCGAGGGAAGGGATTGACAGAGATCCCTGCCAACCTGCCAGAGGGCATCGTGGAAATGTAAGTTCCCATTTACCTTTCCTCAGTCCCTAGTGAGCTAACCTCTCTGACTCAGTGAGTCTCTCGGTAGACAGTCAGCATGTTAGACTGTTAAGTGTGGCCATTACAAATACTCATGAACCTCTTCTCTAGACTCCTAGGTTTTCTTCAGTCTAGTTGTCAAGGGCATGGATGGGCTCAAGAACAGTCAGCAAGCTACAGACTATAGGAAATGCACATGTCATCTATGTTACAGATCAAGTTTTATTGGCCCACATGCATCCCTGTTTGTTGATCCTGGCTTTGGCTGGTCCCTCAGGGCAGGGGGAAATAGTTATGACCAAGGACCATATGGCATACACAATGTAAAATGTATTCCGCCTGGTCTTCCTCAGAAAGCTGCCAATCCCTGAACTGGGGTCAGACCATGTCCGTAGCCTGGATCTCCTGCATGCCTTCTGTTAGGCATTTGTTAACTAGTTCTCTGAGTTGACATTGTTTTCTCTCACTAATACCTGATAATTGTAGTATTATATTTCCGCGGGTCGTAGTGAAAACCAAATGAAGTGCTGTCTGTAAGACACTGGAGCCTCAGTACAGAGGCAAGGGCCTTTCCAATGTGGGTGGGAGCAGAGGAAGGAAAATGCTGAACTGATTTCATAGCTCTCTATCCTTTCGTATGAGACTTTTGTCCTTTAGTTCTTCAGGTAAAGAGACAAGAGTGTGTATGTCTTGCCGTGTGTACAGTGGTGAGCCTCTGCAGGAAGGTGTGTCCATGTGGCTTAGCCTTGTCCATCATCCCTGGTGAATTAGAAAACGGCCATTGTCGATTCCTAGGACAAATAGCGTATCAGTCAGCACTGACCTCAAGCCCACTCCTAAAAGCTCATAGTTGCCTTCATCTCCTGTCTTTACCATGATTGCTTCATGGAGGCTTCAACTGGAACCAACATGGGATGGAATCCCTTAATATAGAAGTTGTAGAGTCCTTTGCCTCTCGGCTACACCTTCTCCTCCTCCCGTTCTGTCTCTGCCTCAGCCTCCCCCGTTCATAGGCTTCTTCTTTCTCAAGCCACTGCCTCATACATGGTCTGTTCCCTACTTACATTGGTGTATTTGCGAGGCAGTTTGTCTGTGCTTGAAGAGCTAGACAAGGTGTCTGCTTTTGTGTCCGATATCTTCTAGAGAGATCAAACAATAAAATAATTCAAATGATATGTTTAAAGGTAGGTGGGAGGGGAGGGAATAGAGCAAGGAAAGGAGTTGAAGCAAGGGTAAAAAAAATCAAAGTACTACCAGTCAGATTGTTAGAGGTGGGGACAGGAAGTGCCATATGCAAAGGTCCTAAGGTGCAAGTGTGTCTGGTATACCACCAGGAGGCCATTGTGTCTGAAGCACGGAATACAAGAGGGAGGTAGTAGGAGCAGAGAGGAAATGAGGCCCCACCATGGGCAGTTTAAGGACTTTGGTTGCACTTTGGTTGGGATGGGAAGAACCACACAGCTCACAAAAGTGGAGTCCTGGTTCGTTCCTCCTTCCTCTGCTTCACCAGCTCTTCCCTGATTCTCTGCGCCAGCCCGAGAGGGTGCAGGCTTGTCTGCAGACAGGAGCTAGTCTGCTATCTGTGCCTTGTGAGGCCACCACACAGTGGCTCCTGCAACCATCTCCTCCCAGCACCAGCTGAAGGGCATTACACTGTAGCTGTCCACACTACTGTGCCCTGGACCAGGAGAGCATCCTCTTCTGGTGAGCCCTAGCCCACCTCTCTTTTCCAGATTCTTCCTTGTTCATCTCCTGCTCCTGCTTTTCTTTGCTTGTCCTCTTGGCCAAGATCCTAACTCACAGCCTGAAGGAAAGGTCCAGGGTGAACTATCAGGCTGTATCCAGGTACACCACCCCAGCCCAGTCCCTCTCCCTCCTTCCCAGCTTCCCATCTGATCCCCAAGTGTGGCCCTTACAGGTCAGCTGGTCTCTCGAAATTCAAAACTGTAGATGCCTACACTGAAAGTGTACCCTGTATAGGTAGGCCCAGGCAATCAGACTCTTGCCTGGACATTGACTACTAACACAGACATTGACAGACTAGGTTGTTAATATAAGAAGATTCCTAAGTTTTTAACCCTTAAAAGCTAAAGGCATGATGTCAAGAACGATGGGATAGTTTTGTACTTGAGCAAAACTGCCATTGTAAAGGTGCATCCAGACTTCCTCCTGACTACTGTCATGGAAAATGCTATCTATTTTACAAAATACTGAACATAGCAGATCAAATATGTTTATGTATTATGCAACAATTGTACATACATTGTACAGACGGTCTTCTATAAAAGATCTATAAAGACCTAGCCTATAATATCAGAAAGTCCAGGAATGGACAACGTAGGCGTTGTCCAAAGGTGTTATCCAAAGATAAACAACAACCATGGAGTGGTTATGATGCTGTGCTCCAGCACATCCCCACACTACCTCTTGTCTTGCCTTGTCGCCACTGGCAGTAACTTTTCTGAGCCTTGCTTCTCTCACTTGAGAACTGCAGAGGCCGATGGTACTTCCTCGGCAGCATGGGCCGCAAGATGCTTAGCCTTGTATCCAACACAGAGGGTATACTGTCAACAATAGTGATCATTTCACAACCATAGCTACTGGGATATTACCACCACCTCTATTCTTAGTGGCAACAGAGTTAGAAAGCGTGTCCTAGGAGGCACCTACTAAACAGAGCCCTCCACGAAGACAGTTCTTTAAGAGTAACGGTCAAGAGAATTGATGGCAGAGGCTAGCTGCACACGGTGTGACTTGAACTTGAGAGTAGCTCATCTTCATGCAAATATATGCAGACATGGTAATAAGGTTGCCCCTGCTTATTGGGCACCCACCGTCTACCAGATGGATCACACAGGACTTCTCTCCCTGAGCTTTCCTCATTCTCCTCTTCGATGAGACGAGACGAAGCTGAGAGATTAAAGCAGGTGAATTAAGTCCCTGTGGTTCGGGGCAGGAGACAGAATGGTGATGTGTAAGAGAGAGAGTGAGGTGGTGAATACAGCAGCATCTGTGCCCGGGCTCAAGGATCAGTTAGCCCAGAGTCTCTGAGGCAGCTAAACTTGGAGCGGGGATAGAATGCCAGCAGAGGAGGGATCTGAAGGGGAAAGAGGAGCAGAGTTAGAAGAGAGGAATACATCTCGGCAGAAGAGGTGTGTTTGATTTATCAACCCAGACACATCAGAACTTGGCCTTCTCTTTAATATCAAGAATTCTCCCTCTTGCCCATGGCCACCTATAATCCAGATTTACATCTCCTCACTTAGGAATGCTTGGAGCCAGACTCCCCACTCCCTTCTCTTGGGCTGTAGCCATTATGGATTCTTTTAAATCATCTTAACCTTGAGAAACAGTCCGTACTCCCGACATTTGGAAGGAGCGCCTATCTCTCATGCAAAGCAACCTGGCAGACTCTCTCAAAAAAAAAAAATTTTTTTTTTCAGAGAAGTGTGTGCTGGTCTCCTCGCTTGCCAGAGCCAATTTCTCTAAAAATAGCTTTCTTCCAGAAAACCCACAGCAAAAGGGTTTGCTGTAGATTTTCCTCGAAACTCCCATCAAGGGCGCTGTTCACGTAGCTCCCTGGTATTTCTCTGAACAGGCTCCAGGCTCCAGCCAGGAAAGATTCAGGGAAGAACCAGAGGCCCACACACTTCTGTTCTTGGTCTGCAGACTCCCTCCTGTACCTTCAAAAACTCTAGAGGGAACATCGGTATGAAGAATACCTTCCGACTCCTGGCTCTATCTTTTCCACATGTCCTCTGAATTCCTGTGTGATGTCCTCTCGTGTCTTGTGTTCTTTGGAAGGAAACCTGATTTGATGGGGAAAGACTGGAGATAGGCTTTAGCATGGATCTGTAATGAACGTTTGGGAGGAACACACAGCCCCAATATCAACTTCATCACCAGCCAACGGGAGGAGGCACTGGCTTAGCTAGACTTGAGACTTACACAAATTGTATAATTAAAAACAAAATGACCAACCAACCAAACCAACAGCCAGAACACTCTAGATCTCAGGCATCATGGATACTTTAGTGTTTAAGAGGACTCTGAGGCACTGGCCTGAGTAGGGACGTAGATAGGGTAAGGGATAAGGAGCCAATGCTGGCAAAATGAAGAAACTGGTCAGGACAGAGGATGGTCCAGAGCCTTGGGGTCAACAGTCTTGTGTTGGAATCCTGCTTTTGTCTCTTACTTCTGGCACATTTCTTAATATCTCCTGTCTGATTCAGGAGTCCCTGGTAAATACAGGTTATCGTACCTACCTAGAGACTTCCCATGAGGATTAAGGGGCATAATACAGAAGGTTATCATGGTGTTTGGATGTTACTAAAAGTGGAATTTGAAAAGCAAAACCCTATTCACCTATGTGACACGATAGCATGGTTTAGTCTCAAATTTCCACACTGTTCATTTTTTTCCTTAAGGTTATAAAGCATCCTCTGCAGGCATCTGCACACATGCATCTCATAAGAAGAGTGAGTCTGGCGCTGTGCCTGCTCCTCCCTCTGTGGTCCATAGGCAATGCCAGGTGTTCTGCAGACAGCCCATTAGAGATGGCATATGTCAGATTTGCCCACATTCCTCATCTTTGCTGAGGACCAAACATATGAATTAAGTGGAGGAGACTTCACCTCACTGCTAAGAGCAAAAATAAAGAATGGGAGTGCAGAAGTTGAGCCCAGAGTATACCTTGAAAGGGATTATCTTCAGCCCTGATCCAAGTATGGTCAAGCATCAAGAACTGAGCTTCTGGACTCTGGGTTCTTGTATGTTCTTCAAGCAGATGTGTCAGGATAACTTGGGAAACGGATAAACATGGGATTTCCTTCCTTCTCCCGGATCTGGATATCCTAACGAGAGTTCCCAAGTCAGAGTGCTCAGGACATGACTCAGTCCATAAAGTACCTGCTGCTCAAGTGAGAGGATCTGAATTCAGATCCTTACAAGCCTCATAAAAAGTAAGGCATGGTTGTGTGTGCCTATAACCCCAGCCTCGGGGAGGAGCCAAACTGGCAGATCCCTGGAGCTCATTGATCTGTCTGCCTGGCTGAATCCATGAGCTTTGGGTTCCCTGAGGGACCCTGATTCAAAACATAAAGGTGGGCTTGGTGGAGGAAGATACCCAACATTAACCTCCAAATAGATGTGCACACTTAACATGTACACATGAGTATTCAAAAAGTTATTGAGCCAGGGAGTAACTAAGAGCAGCGACAATTAAGACACTCTTTATCTGTCAAGGACTAAAAGAATAAAGGTAGTTTCCCAACCCTGAAATAAGAGAGCCAAGAGTTAAGGAGCCAGGAACCTGGGTCATAGCACTCTGGCTTCTATTCATTAGCTCTTGATCTTCTCGGACCACTCCTCCAACATAGTATAACGGCACTGCTTGCTCCATGGCACTGTAGATGGGAAAAGGTGAGCCAGTATATGAAGGGCATCCTGCCTGACATTCGAAAGTCCTTGATAAATGCTAGATGTTCATCCTATGGTCTTCACTGCCAGTACCGTCAGCATCTCAACATGGCTGCAACATCTCCTTTCTACAGTGACTTATAGGCACACCCCCATACCACCTATACCCCTGCATTCTCTCTGTCATCATGGTGACTTATGGATTGCCAGGCATATATTGTGTTCAGTCACATGTTTGCAAATGACATATCATTAGTGGGGGGCACCTGAAGAACTAGGGCAAATCAATACGGTGCACAAATGGCTGAAATCCCCATCAGATGTTCCCTTTCTTTCTGCTGGTGCAGGAGGATGTTCGGCTGTTTGATTTGTGTGTTTGTTTTTATGCTGCCTCTATTAAATCTGTTTGCAGCCTGAAGAATGTTTGCCAGACAAAGCAAGACACATGTGCCAGTTAGGAGAACCCTGAAACAGCTGTTGACTTCAGACATTTCCTAAGATGTGACAGATTTCGCTAATGCTGAGGCTTCTTTTTGTTCTTTACAATGAAGCAGTTTCACTGGGAAGCTCGATCCTTGTCCCCTTGTTCCAAGCTGCAGGACTGGTGAAGTGTTCAACCTCTTCAAGGTCCTTGCTCTGTGCGATGGTGTGGCCATGTGCATCCATAGGTACCATGTGTGTTCTCCTGCTCCCCCGACAGGAGGGACATTTTTCCTGACAATGAGCTAGCAAGAATAAGGAAAATAAATGGTTCACTAAAACCTAGTGGTTGAGAGTCAGTGCTTTGGAACCAGGTGAACGTGGATCAAAACCCCCGTTCTAGCCTCTCCTAACTGTGGACTAGTGTTTTTGCCTCTCTGAACTTCAGTTCTTTGATGTTTAAGGATAGGGCTCTGCATGACGGTACACCCCTATAATCCTACCATATGAAAGGCAGGATGAGCATAAGTCCTAGTCCTGCCTGGGCTACATAAGGAGGTCATGCCACAAAAGGAGGGGAAAGTGGGAGGGAGGGACTGGAGGTGGTAATAACTTATAGATGCACCTCACAGATGTGTAAATATTAAGTTTGACATGCCATGAAAGCTCAAAGCCCAATGCCTGACATCTATATACTTGATACGTTTTAGTTCTTAATATTATCCATACCCTTGCCTTTGCTTTATTTAAGGGAAACTGGCTATTCGCAACTACCCCATCACCAAAGAGGTCTCGCTGGCTTCCTCCTGGGCATGCCATGTCTTTGACAATCCATTAAGGGTCCAAGGGAAGGCTAAGAAATATGGATAAAGCCCATTCTCAGAGTAAGAAAATCTGAGGAGTGCATGCAGGATGCAAGGCAAGGTCTCTACCAGGGTTGATAGTCTAAGCTTGGAGTTCTTTGGTTTTTGCCCAGACCTCATTTCCTTGCACTCCATATGCATATATGCATGGGGGGGACACCCAGGAACCCATGAAACTCCTGATCATCAGATGCTCAAATCCATTATATAAAATCGTATTAAAATGAATATAAACTATGAACATCTGAGTCCTCTCTCAAATGCTCTTAAGTAGCAACACTGAGTCGATGTTGGACTCTGTTGTTTAGGCCTAATGGTCAGGAAAGTCTACCCATGTTGAATAAGATGCCTTTTTATTCATGTATTTTAAACACAGTTGGTTGAGTCTCTGAGTGGTGACCCCATGGATCCAGAAAGCTGAAAGTATTCATTTCCCATCTCTGTCCCATCTTCCCTCAGCATTGAGACCCTATCCACAGAGCATGGATACCCATGATGTCAGTGGGCCAATGCCTCAGACTTTCCTGTGACTTAGAGAAAGCCTCTGTTTACCCATTTTCATAAATATAGACAAGCAGTGTGACCGGCAGATAGGAACAAGGGCTCATTCATCCCACCACTGACCAGCTGTATTCTTTTTGATAAGCCTTTTGATCTCTTGAGGTTTCCTTTGCCTTGTTCACAAATGGGCCAGTGCAGCTTGCCTCATAAGAGTAAAGGTTCACAGAAATAACAGGCATAAACGCCACCATGCCATTAATAACAATACTCTACAATAATGATCTTGATTATTATAGCAATGAAATTCAGTTCTGTGATGGGCCGCCTTGAGCTCTGTCAGTAGAGTCTCAAAGTCCTTGAGGTCTGATGTCACATCCTGCTCATTGAAGCACTCCTCTCTTAGTACTTGCCCAAGCGGAGGCTGGCTGATTGTAAACTGCACAGAGAGATATCAGAACTCGTCTCCAACGTTGCTTCACAGAGACAGGCTTGTGGCTACAGCAAGGAGCCATGGGTTCTCCTGCACAAAAGCAAAAAGGGTCACTATCCTTGTGGACAGTGGTTCTCTCCAAAGACAGCAGACTATAAAGTTCCTTTCCTGAGTGGCAGGTGACTCACAGGATACCTGGAGAGCTTGTGGTGCCCCAGAGATCCATGGAGCTGTTGCCTTGGCTGAGAATTCCCTGCTGAACTCTCTACTCAGTCAGAAAATGAGAATGTCCTTGGAAAGTCTGTCAAGGCATCCTCTGCGGGTGGCTGTATCCAGTAGCCCGTGGTCCCACAGTCCCAATGGCAAGCCTTGGTGACTCACCACCAGCCAGTCAGCCAACTGGGCCCCGTCCAGCCTGCCTATGACTGTAGTCCCAGGAAAGTGCCCTCCCTGCCCCCTCCAGCAGGGCACAAAGACATTGCTAACAGACTGTGGCAGTCTCATTTGTAAACCGTGTTCATCCAGCAGCCAAGAATGATCAGCCCTGATGCTCCCTCTCTTCTCACCCGCCCTTCCTCTTTGGGCTCCCACTCGTTCCCCCTTCCTTTTGCCTAGAGAGTGATTTGTCTGTGTTATGGGTAGGCCTGACAAACCATTCCACATTAGCAGCTGAGATGTTGTTTGAAATGGGAAAATTGCTGGCAAACTGCTCCATTAGCGGTTCCAGTAACAAATACTCTGTTCCCCCAATGAAGATGAGATCGTGGAGGCACAAATTAATACGACTGTCTCCCCCACTCTGCAGCGGGGATTACTCTTCAAGATGAATGGGTCCTCCCTGCCAGAAGTGTGCATCCACTAGACAGAGCCACTGAGGGAGCCAGTCCTTCCCCTCTCTCCCTCTGGCACCCGACACGTTCCATTCCAAACATTCCTATTCAATCATTCATTCATTCATTCATTCATTCATTCATTCTCTTTATCTCTGTCTCTCTCTGTCTGTGTGTGTGTGTGTGTGTGTGTGTTCTCAGCTGAGGGCTTCAGGAGAAGGGAGACTGATGGGGATGAGATGCTAAGTCCTCAGCCTGGGCTCGGGTGTCATTCATCATCTGTAATAGAGTGTCCCACCTGCTGCTCATGCCTGTTTCCCACTACACAGGTTCTTAGTGGTGGGAAGGCATTTGAGAGATGACATAATAAGACTGGAAAAGCTTGCTCGGTCCCCATCGCCCCTTTTCTCCCCAGGAAGTCCTGGGCTCAGCGCCTGCACTGTCTTACTCTTCCCAGAGTCCTAAAAGTGGAAGCATTCAAGAAACTTCCTATAAAGTATGAGGTATATGTTCCAGCAGCTACTCAGGAGTCCAGCCTGGGGCCTGAGGCTTCCAGAATCTCAGGGAGTCGGTTTGAGGAGTGTCAGACTGAAAGCCTAGAGACTTTAAGGCTGTTTCTCCACAATATTGAAAATGTCGAATGAAGTCAGCTGCTGACAGTTCTGCCCTTTAGCTGTGTGGTTGAGATGTCACCTAGAGAGTGACGTGGTTCCATGGCAGGGAAGCACAGCTGTCCTGTGTGGTCCATCTCTTTCTTCCTTCTCTTTGTGATGTCAACTTATTCCCAACCTCCTGCTCTAGTTGCTTCCTACAGCATTCTCTGAAGGACACAGCTGCCTCCAAAGGCAGCTGACAATAGCGAGCATCAGAGCTCCTGGAAGTCCACTTCTCAGCTTTCTCCAGTAGCTCTTGGGCCCTTGGATGATGCTCTATAGGCTGGACACGGTGGCTGTTTCAGTGTTTGTCCCACCTCCCACAACCAAGACGTGTACCTTGTGCTTTGTGCTAAGAGACCGCATCCTGTCCACAAGGCCAGAGAATATAGCAGCCCCTCAGTGGTCCTTTGTTGATAAGCGGTTGATGAATTGACTCTTCTCTGCTCTCTTCTCCAGACGCCTAGAACAGAACTCCATCAAATCCATTCCTGCCGGAGCCTTCACCCAGTACAAAAAACTGAAGCGAATGTGAGTTTCCCTTGGGAAGAATTTGTCGGAATGTTTCCGTGGGATGGTGGATGGGGAGAGGGCTTTACAGTGTGTGGTAGGCATCCCGTCCAATGGATAGATCATATCTACTCCTCTCAGACAGGTCTAGGCTGCTCTGAGATTGTAAGAAAGTGTTGTATACCCATGGTAAGGTTTGTGAACTTCAGCATGTAGAGCTAAGAGCCTCTCTGACCAGAGAGAACTGAAATTATCCTTGTGAGAGAAGCACGTGAGCTGTCCCACCCCCACAGCCGTATCCGCCAACTTTAATGTCCTTGGCTTTGATGCTATCAACAGTCATATGATAGTGGCTTCACATCCTCCTGTACCACCGTCACTAACATCCCTACAACCATGCATGCGCTTATATAATTAATACTTAAATAAATGGTTGCTATATGCCCGAATCTGGATGGAGCCATGAACAAAAATGGAAGTTACCTTCCTGGAGGCTCTACTTCAGTTGGGAGAGCACAGACAATAAGGAAGTAAGTATCAGAAACCGATAAGCCGTCCTACGCAAGAGCAAGGGCAAATGAAAGGCATGGAGATTGGGCATGGTAGTTCATAGCCAATGAGGAGTACGCAAGGGAAGGTTGGGAGTGAGCATTGTTAGGAGGGGCAGGTAAAGGCTAGGTCACATGAGCACTTGAGACCACAGTAAAGGCTTTCCCGTCTAAGTGACACATGCTAGTCCTGGAGGTTATGGCCGACATGTGGGCATACAGTTTAAAATCATAGTCATCTGAGTTGCCCGTGGTCAAAACCAACACCCCCAGAACCATGGTTACTGAGACCACACACACCCCCACTGCCTCACACTGGTAATGCCAGCATACTACCTCCTCTTTACCATGGCAGACTGTACTCTGGCATCATCCCTGCCATGAGGAGTCATGTGATTATATCAGTCACATGATGACTTTGAACCTTCTCTGTGAGTTACTCAGCATGGAAGTATTTGAAAGGAGGTAAATGGGATTTGGGGAAATGACCCGTCACAAAGATTACAGTTCTAGAGGGAGATCTCTTTTCCTTTCTCCATGTTGGGACCCATTAGCCTCACCTGGTACTCAGTCTGCTGTTCTCATTCCCCGGGAGACTGAGAAACATGCCTGCACTCCACCCTGTTTGACCTTGTGTGCCAGATCTGTTTGCTGATTTCCCTGAACTGGGAGAGAGGGGTTTGTGTCAACAGGGTCTCCTGATTCCTTTCCTGTTAAAAAACAAATATGTCCACGAAACAGTGGCATCAGGAAGCTTACCCTCAGATCTTGGGAAGCCAACTTCCTATCTCCCTGGAAAGCCAAAGCACACAAGATTTTCTCTTAGTGTGATTCCAAAAGTGGAAAAGCAGCAAAGCGAGCCAGCTCAAGGCGCAGGCTCCTTCTCTCTCCTTGGCAGCATCCTTCCTGGAGGAGCCGTATAAATATAGGCCTTAATATTTAAAATCTCAGGTCATTAATCTCTTGGTATCCCTGCTTCTCCGGCTTACTCATGCACCCCCCCCCAATTCATTTTTAAAGCCAGCTTGATTATGCAGCCAGATAGTAATTTTGGTGACAAATGACAAGTTCAGTTACTGCCCTCAACCTATAGCTCCTGCATGATTTAAGCTACTGTTCTAATTTTTTTTATTTTTATTATTTATTTATTTATTTATTTATTTATTTATTTATTTTGTGAAGTCCAGGTAATTTAGAGCTTGGCTGTGTTTTACTGTCCTTTCTCCGTGCTCTTGGAGTTGCCACGATCGGCAACATTCAAACGTGATGGCACATTCAAAATTCATAAGACCTTATCAGTCACAGCCTGGAAAGTGAATTTAATTTTTGATCACTTCTGACGATACCGATGTTTATTATGATGCCCGGCAAAGGGGTGGTAGGAGGGGAAAGAATCCGGTTAAACTTTCTTGACCAATAGAGCTTCAAGAATATAGATTGTTGTTTAATGGTGTGGGCTCAGTTGAGTCAGATGAGAATTGATTTCAGACCCTAATAATGGCTTCCTCCTAGGTGACCATGCATAGTTTATACTTAATATTCAAAGATAGAGCTGTCCACTCTTTACTCAAACACATATGTCAAGTCCTTAGCAGCTTTGGGTCCTTAAGCTCCGAGGGTGCGTGTTTCTTCCTACAAACTTCCTTTCTGTAAGTCCCACACAGGCTCACTCATACGTCGTGTACCTCACTGCTCTTAAGGACAAAGGGGGTTCATTCTGGCTCACAGTTTGAGAGGACAACAGGTACTAGAGAGATAGCTCAGCAGTTATGAACACTGGCTTTTCTTCCAGAGGACCTGGGCTAGATTCCCAGCACCCACATGGCCAGGAACCATCTTGCAACTAACTACAGTCATGGGGAATCTGACACCCTCTTCTGGCCTTTGCACATATATGGTGGGAGACATAGATGCAAGCAAAACACCCATACACATAGGTTTGTTGTTTTGTTTTGTTTTTTTAATTAAAAGGGATATCGCCCATCATGGTGGGAAAGACATAGAAGTAGGGGCAGAAGATGGCCATTTGAGTCAATAATCATGAAGCAGAGAGTGATGAATGCTACCCCTCAGCTGCCTTTCTCCTTTCCCCTTTTTATTCAGTTAGGGACCCCCACTCATTGAATGGTGCCGCCCATGTTCAGGGTTCACTTCCCCTTCAAAGTTAATCCTCCCTTGAAAGATCCTCACAGACTCAACTGTGTCCAAATCCAGTCAGGTTGACAGTGGAAATTAACCATCATATCCATGAATCTAAATTTCCATCTCAGAGAAGCAATAGATAGGATGACTCTCTAAGGGCGGAGATAGAAACTGGTGCCGGAGATGTCGGTCCAATGATACAGAATCTCAGCTGAGCAAGAGGACGAAGTTCAAAAGATGCATCCTATACCATGATGGCTGTAGTTATTCAAAATGTATTGAAAATTTCCGAGGGTAGCTTTTAAGCGTCCTCACGAGTCATAATAGATGACTTCCCCTTTTTTTTTTTTTTTTTTGGATGTGCCAAATAGCTTGATTTAGCCCTTCCACAGTGTGCACATATTCCAAAACACTACAAATACGTTAATATATACAATAAAAATTAGGGGAGGGGGAGCCCAAGTGATCATCCACAGTGTCTGTCTAGTCCTACAGAAAAAAAAAAAAAATCACTTCCGGTTCACATCGTCCTTCACTTCCAAACCAGAAGATACTTCACCTCATGTTATCACCCAAAGAGGGTTGAGCCCTGAAGTTCTAATTGTGAACTAAAACTCCAGTCTGTCGTCCACACAGCTGAGGCTGAGATGTTTCCCAGTGGCTGAGGGACTTCCCATCCACTAGAGGTCAGAGCACCATGAATGGATATCCCACAAGGGGGAAAGAGTCAAAATGGGCCTCCTCTCTAATATGAACAGACCCTGTGTATTGTTTTGAACTAGGGAGCCACCCCGAGGTGAGCTTAGGATAATCCAGGGTGTCTGCTTGTTAAGACCCTTACACAAAAATGGAACACTGAAGAAAAGCCCAGTGTAAGCTGATGAGTTTGCCAGCGCAATCTGGATTTGTTTGAGGCGATCTCACGTCAGCTAAAGGGATAAGCCCGACAGCTGTACAGAAGGAGCCTTAACCTGGGAAGTGGCTTTCAACTTACAGGCTTTGGAAGCAGGAGAGAAGGGAGCATGGCATTTTCCTAGGCTGTTAGGCATAGGAGGGAGGCAGGACAAAGCTACTTCTTTCATGGGAGTTTAAGAGGCTGGGCAGCTGGGGTCTGGCCACCCCAGAGGCCATCATTTACCAATCTTCTCGGATGTGCTTTTTTCTCAGTATCCACTTGTCTCCTCCTTGTTGGCCTGTGAAGCCCTCAGCCCTCCTTCTATCACACAAAAGCAAGGACCCATTGATTTATTTTGTTGAGCGAAAGGAACTGGAGAGGTTTCTTGTCGCAGGAAATTGGTGCATCTCTCCTGCCAGTGACAGGGGCCCAAAGGCCAGCCCTGAGCTAATAACTCTGAGGAAAAGCAATCTCCCTCCACAAGGGCCATCAGCAGGAACCTGTGGCCCAGCTCTCTCTGGGATGCTGAAAGTATACAGCAGAGGGCTCCCTGCACCTGCAACCAGACTAGCTATTGCACCTGCAACTTTAAGACCAAGCTAAGCCACTGCCTAGCGCCTTCAAGGCCAGGCTAGCCACTGCACCTGCCCCTTCAAGGCCAGGCTAGCTAGCTATCAGGTGCGCTATGTTTGGAAGATCCTTCTAACACACTTTAGCCCTCTTAAGCTCTGGATGTGTCATCTCTCCGGGCTTGTTCCCAAATAAGGAGCATTCCTAGCCAGTGACAAGTTCACATCTCAAAGGCGTTCTCTGAGAGTCTTATGATTTGTTTGTATCACATGGCTGAGAGGATGCATCATCCTTGCTCAGAGACTCCTGCAGATCAGGGATGAAAACTAACGGGGGAAGTGAAATGCCATGGGTCTTTCAGGATGACAGTCACTTCTGGGGTACACGACAAGAAAGTGATGCATAAAGAAGGCAGGCCTGGCCTTGGGTTGGGTAGGGTCCATGCTGCTTTATCTGCTCTGTTAAATAGTTGATAATGGCACCCAAGACCAAGCCCTGGCTTGAGGTTGCTTTTGGTTTGGGGTTCATTTTTTTTTTTATATTGCCACTTTTGTTTTTTTGCTTTGGGGGAGGTTGGTTGGGGTTTTGTCTGGTTTTGTTCTTTTTGTTTTGTTGAAACAGGATGTCACTATGTAGTCCAGGCTAGCCTCCAACAGCCAGTCCTCCTGCCTCAGCCTCCAAAGTGCTGGGATCACAGGGCATCAGCACACCCAGAATGCACAGCTTCTGGATGTGCCTTTACACCTAACCAGTAGTGACCGACATATTCATACCGTTCTGTGCCAGGCAAGACTTAGGTGGCATTTCTTAGTCTTGCCCGGGAAGACATACAAAGGCAGTATATATTACCCCAGGGCAGTAAGAGAGGTGTTCTTTAGGCACTGCCCCCTGTGCTGTAAATAAATAAATTGCTTGGTTGGTCAGTTAATCTGTACCAGTCTTGAAAGGCTGGACTTCGGGTGTATACTTCAGGAAGAGCGTTATCACACCTGCGAGCCGTGTCCTCAGACTTTCCCCATTAATGTTTTCAGAGACATCAGCAAGAATCAGATATCGGACATCGCTCCAGATGCCTTCCAGGGCCTGAAATCACTCACGTCGCTGTAAGTGGGGCAGGGGTGGGAGGTGCGTCCGTATTTTTCAGGAGGTGCTTATCAGGGCTTCATGTTGCCTTACACACTTGTGGCAATCTGGTAAAAGAAACAAATATTTCTTCGGGGGAAATTGATCTTGGGGAATATTTCTACAACTCACATGCATTATTCTTATTGATTAAGTGCCCAGCAGCTTTCCCAGTTATTGGCTTCTCATTCAAATGCATCTTTGACTCTCACCTCGCTCCCCCGCCCACCTCATGCTGCACAGTGCTGTCTCAGGGGAGATCGGGTAGAGAGAATGGTAATGTATGTCTGAGATGAGGGCCATGGCTCACCTCTCCTCCTCCCCCAACCTCTCCTCCCCCCACCCCTCCTCCCCCCAGCATCTGTGGCCTTGTCCAGGGAGGGCAGTATTTCCTTTTTCTGATTTTCTTGCTGTTTCTAATTGTGGTCATTGTTTAGAAAAGATCCACCCATCCCATCTCCTGTACCTTCTTGGGCTTTTAAAGCCCTTATTTAGCTCAGTGCTGAGACAGGAACAAACAAGCAAACAAACCTCACTCACCAAGGACCACTAGACTCCCAGAAGGTATAGGATTTGCCCTCAGTTCCTCTCAGTTCACTCAGGGGATGGGCAGTCCCTTGAGCCTTCTCTGCACGTTTTCTCAGTCAGAACGAAGATCCCTTCCTTGCCTGACAGACTCTATGATTGACATATCACAGTAATGACAATAATTGACAGCATTTAGCAAGTGCTGATGGTGACCAGGTACTCTTCTTGTAGGAGTCTTATGGGGTGAATCCTCACAAAAATACAGTCTGTGGGATCTGCTGCCGTGTATGTAAACTCCTGAACTGTTGTTGTTTCCATCTGTAACCCTGGCACCTCACACTGTATCGGGCACATGGTGATTAAAGAAAAGATTCCGAGCTAGAGAGATAGATGCCAGGGAACACAGTACCTGCTGCTCAAGCATAGGCCCTGAGTCGGGATTCCCAGCATCTACATACAAGCAGAGCACTGTGGGGAGGGGGCAGGGCTGGATCTCAGGAGCTCTCTGGTCACCCAGCCTAGATAAAACTAGGAGCTCCAGGTTCACTGAGAGACCCTGTCTCATCAGTCAAATGAAAAGCAATAGAGGAAGATAGTTGACATGAGCTTCTGATTTCCACACGTCCACACAGGTGAGCAAACCTCCCCCTGACACCCACCCCTGTAAACACATTCACTGGCCCGCATCACAGGAGGAATCCGGGAAGAGATAACATGCTAATTTAAATGAAAAAAAACTTATCTAAAAACCCACTAATGAGTGTGAGCGATAGGATTTGAGCCCAGTGTGTTTGGTCAGAATTTCTCTCCCGATCTCCGTGCTGTGGAGCCCTCTGGATATAATGTGGAAAGAGTAGCATCCGATACAGTGACGGTGATGTATTTATATCATCTGGTGCCTCGTTCCCTCCGACACCCCAGACAATAAGGGGGTGCTCACAGGCATGCCCTCTGTGTCTTGCCTCTTCACAACCTGCTTGCCTCGTTTATGAGCATGCAGGTAGCGGGATGCACAGAGCCTCCCGTCCCACTGAGCAGAGGCCGAGGACAGGAAGTCCCTGATTCAGCTGGTGTCTGCTGCCTGCTGAGTAAATTAGTTTCATTTATCGAATAGAACATCTGGCTGGGATATCAAAGACAGGGGCCCGTGCGTGAGATTAGTGTCTGCTTATTGTGATGAGTGTCACAGAGTAGAGGAGGGCGAGAGGGCCCCCGCCAACAGGATCCCACCCCAACCTTTCTATTCTCCTTCTCTGCTCTCCCTTAGCCAAGATTTGGGAAATGTCTCAAGATCGTGGAATGATTCTTGTCTGGCAGAAGAAATTTCAAAACAGGGAATTAGCACACCAGTAGTGAAGCTGGAGGTATTACCAAGCATCCAGGGAAGTACCTCTGAGCTTGTGTTCCTCCATTTAGTAGATGCCTGGTGTGTAAGGGAGCAGCAGGGTTGCAGGCATTCAGAATGTGGTCAGGAGCTGACTAGACCAGCCCCCAGGGCTACTGAAGCGGACAGTGTAGGGTAAAGGGGTGGAGAGCCTTTACCTCAGGCCTGTTCATTCTTCCAGATCTTCATTCAGTGGGTGCTCACTATACTAGACCTTGTTCTTTCTCCACTCTAGAAACCCAGCCATGGGCATGCCCTAGGACATCAACACACTTAGGAGAGTTAAAGGAAGAACCTCAAAACTGAACCTAAAGGGGCTAGAGAGATACCTCCGCAGGGAAGAGCCCTGGCCGCTCTTCTAGAGGACCAGGGTTCAATTCCCAGTACCTATCTGACAGCTCACCACCATCTGTAATTCTGGTCTCAGGGGATCTGGCATGCACTTCGGGCCTTAGCAGGCATCAGGTGCACACATGATGAACAGATATTCAAGCAGGCAAACCACTCATACATATAAAATGATTAAAATGATAATAATAGACTAATCCTAAATAAATGTGTAAGTAACATAAAAGTAAGTGTTTGGGAGAAGCAAACTGAGAAAATAGATGGTCGGGAATCTTAACTAAAACATTTAGGAGATGGCTCCAGGGGGAGAGCTGCTTGGGCTCAAACAGCTTGTGAAGGGAATCAAGACTCAAGACGAGGCCTCAGGCAGGCTTCAGGTGGGAAGCCACACACCAACAGGCCAGCACCTTTGTCGCTGATGCATAGGCAGGTGGCCGACTCATCAGCCTTGAGGATGTTCCACACCAAGGAGGGATAGGCTGTATGAGAACCCCTACCCCAGCACCCCAGCACCCCAGCACCCCAGCACCCCCAGCATCCCCAGCACCCCCACCCTCACCCAGCAGCTTCTGCCACTCTGGAAGCTCTGATGCCCATCGAGATGAGCAGGCAGTGGCATTACTACATTTGGCACAGTGAGCAGTGGGACATTAATATGAATTACAAATGTGAGCCCGCGCCATCATGCTGACTTCTATTTAGTCATTAATTTGTTGGAGCATTAATGAAACACACCCGCAGGCTGATGGAGAACTCACTCTTCACTCCCAGTGGCTTCTGGAAGTGGGCGGCGGCGGGGGAGACGGGGCCTGTTTCCCGCTCGTTCACTGTTCTGTCCTCCTAAAATTTTGCCTCCTCAAATGACTGTCAGCCTAGATTCGAGATCTGAGTGGGAATTAAATATTGCATAGCCCGTGGACTTAGACCCAAGAAGGGGTTCTAACAGAAGAGAACCAAGCCTTCTTTATATCTGTTTCCTGATCAAAGAGGAGGCTGGACTCCTCAGACAGAAAAAAACAAAAAATTCTGTCATGAGATGAAGCAGAGAAAGATCCAGAGAGTGTCAGTTCCAGGATTAGAGCCATGCTGGGTGCTGGTCTTTCCCAGGCTTCTCCAGTGGTGAGCACTAGTTTAGAGGATACTGTGGGTCTGAAAGATGAAATGAAAAAAAAAAATCTTCTGAGTTCCTTCCTTCTTAGATCTGAAAGGATAGGCCAGGCGGATGGAGAGTGGAAGCTGCCATCATCTGAGACAGTGAAACTCCTCAGCCTCCCCATTGAGCCAGGCCTCAAATCAGCAATGCCTGCGCCATCTGGAGATGCCCCCGCATGCCCAAAGCCCTGCTGTCTAGATGGATGATGTAAAACAAACTCAGCTCAGGAATTCCTAGGATGCAGTGGGGTATTAAAAGGAAACATTCTATAGGCTGGCTCAGCCTAATCAATACCCATTGAAGACACAGGCTGGCCTCCCACACTGCTTATTTACTGTGGGGCTCCAGTCACACTTGCAGCTCAGGAGGTACCACAAAGGGATGCTTCTTCCTTGTGGGGGTGATGGACTGGGCTGGGCTGGGATGCAGCCGGATGGAGCCTGCTGTACCTTACCTCCAGCACAGCATCCCACCCCAACCTCCCCCACCCCCCCAGCGCAGGATGAACTGCCTGCCTCTGTCTCAGCAATAAGAAGACGCAATGGAGGTAGCAGGCCAGGAAGGCAGGTGGCCTGAGATCTTGCCCCTAGAACTGACCCCCTTCACGTCCTGCTGACTCCTGTCATCTGCTTCCTTCCAGGGTACTCTATGGGAACAAGATCACAGAGATTCCCAAAGGACTGTTTGACGGGCTGGTGTCCCTGCAGCTACTGTGAGTAGGAACTGTCTACTTTTTTTTTGTATCCGTGGGACTGTTTTTGTAGACCGGAAATGTTAAGCCATGCTCTTGGAGGATTCTTTGGACTTTATACCTATCACACAGACACCAAAACCTCTGTGCATCCCATCTCCCCTCTCCAAGGCATTCTTGTGGCCAGAGAGGCAGAGGTGGCACAGAACACCAAGGCCGGTGTGCATAAGTCTGGATGATACAGTCTAGAGCCCTGGCCCCAGCATGAGACGTGAATGGTTTCATGGCTTGAGAGTAAGAAAGAAATTGAATCCTGCAAGAGGAAAGACCTTCCAGAGATGTACTAAGAATTTAGGAAACTAAGCCTTCCCAAGGCAAACTCTACTCTGAAAACTGAAATAGTGGCCCATAGCAGGCATGTGACCTTAAGGAGGGGGTGGGTGGGGAGACGCTATTGGAGATGAGCATAACCAATCTGTAGTATGTCTCTCTGGCAAGATAAAACAAGAGGAAAATGTTTATTTCATTTAAAGGAAGTTTTAAGCTCTGGGTCTATTCATTTGCATTTATTTCATTCTGGTCATTTACTCTTAAATGTTTGAAGAAGATAATTGAACTCTGATATGGAGAAGTAAAGAAAGGAACTTAGCTTATTTTAAAATTTTTTTTGATGAGCAAGGATCATCCCTAGTTTCTGACTAGGTAGCTGGTACCTCTATACTCGCATGCTATGGGTGTGGTTGGGTGTGTGAGTGTGTGTGTGCACGTGTGCGCCCACATGCAACGCAAGCGTGCATGCACATACAAATGAGTAATATCTACTCTATGAGCATCATAATTCCTGTTGTTACCAAGAACTAACCTTGAGTACCCTAAGAACATGGGAGAATGCCAGCTCTCAAAGAGGTTTGCCCTGCTTCACACAGTGCGGAAAGTAGGTAGACTCTCCATAGTCAGATATTTCCAAAGGTCCCTGGCTCTCTGAATAGTGCATGACAGGATTTCATCATCAGAGGACAAACAGATTTGCATGCAAATGTCTTTAAAAAATCACCTCCAAGCCAAACAAGGAGGTGTGAACCTTTAATTCTAGGGCTTAAGCTGGAGCAGAAGAGTCATGAGTGGAAGTTCATGTTTGCTGCATTTAGTCCATGAGGGAGGAAGGGAGAAAGAAAGATATATCACCTCCAGTTTCCAGTAAACAAAAGGTTCCAGGCTCTCCACCTAAGTTTGTGGACCAGGTGGTCCAGCCAGATCTCAAAGGGTAGGAGATATGGGACCAAAGGCACTAATCAGTAGATGGGAACTGTGGTTTGGGCTTGCAAGGACACTTTAGAAAGAAGTAAGACTTCCTCTGGCTCTCCACATCTCATACCTTTACACCTTAAACTCCCGTGTCCCTGGACAGATTGTCCCAGGATATAAAACAGTGTGAATCATGTTGGAATGAACTGTCCATCCAGTTTCTGAGCTGCAGATCCAGCAAGTAACCACCAGACTAGTTTGACAAAGCTGAAATGGAGAGCAAGAGAGAGCGAGAGCGAGCGAGAGAGAGAGAGCGAGCAACCAACCCCTATCTGGTTCCTGTATCTTCCTGTCTCTTCCTCTCCTTCCCTGTCATTCTGGCTGGCTGTAGGCTGGCAGATCTGTGTTCAGAGGTCTCAGCCCTTTGTGGCTCTTTAAGGCTGTTTTGTAGAATGGCATGCCAGGACTCTGCAAGGCTCTCTGTGTTTCACAGATGGTGTTCTTTGCTCCTAGCAGAGAAACTAAGTTATAACTGCTACCAGGAGGCTGGTTAACTGTAGCCATTAATCCCCAGGAGAAAAATAACAATAGCATCTGCCCGGAGGTGGATTTAGGGGATACTGTGTCCAGCCAGACTCACATGAATGACCTTGAATGATATGCATTAAAAGAACAATGTCATGCCCACTTACACTAGGAAAGTGGACTGGACTTCAAAGGGCCAGCATTGTGAATGATGTGTATCAAAGATTCTAGAATGGCATATTTTTAAACAAAGGAAATATGTCTCTGCTACAAGCTGACAGCAGTCGGGAGGTTATGAGCCCCCCTCCCAACCCCCAGGCTGTGAAGGCAGCGCCAGCTGAAGAGCATCACTTTGAGCAGATGGAACTGACTAGCTAGGGGGTAAAGACAATGCTTCTCCCTCAGTGGAGACCAGGAGTTGACACAGCTCAGGCTGGCTCACTTTCCAGAAGGAACCCGCAGGCGGGGCTGGAGTCCATCATCTCTGGTTCTGATCTGCTGTTGAGCAATTGGAAAGCAGGTCCCCATTAGATCAAATTTAGGGTTCAGTGGGCTGTAGATTGGATTTCTCCTCATTTGGCTGGGGATTGTCTGATAAGAAGGCTCTGATTAGAATACCCTGGTTGACTGGGTAATTTCTTCTCCTTTGACTCAGCAGCAGACCATGGGAGTGTTGTCTCCTCCGCTCCCTCCCCCCCCCTTAAATGATTGATTGGTCAGTCTCTAAGTGGAAATGTCCCTTCCATGCCTAGAGGTCCTGGATATTTTCTTTTCTGGCACTTGTTGTGACACTAACAGGGACCAAGTGGATGTTTGTGCTTGGTTATTCTGTCCCTCCCTCCCTTTGTGACTGCTCTGGATTTAGCTGTCATCCTTCCAGCTATGCCCAGTTTAGGATGTACCCAGCCATCCCACTTTGGCAATTGGCTTGCCATGCTCCTTTGGACAGATGATCAACACCAATAGTACAGAATCCCAGGCACTCTCAGAGATTGCACCCAATGAGTTTATACAGGCAAGCTTCAGCAGTCCCTGAAGTTGACCCTGATCTTGATATATCGTCTTCTGGATCCTCCCAAGAGTTGCATCCTTAGCTGAACTTACAAGGTCTCATATAAAACGAACCTCAGGGATACACACACACACACACACACACACACACACACACAGCTAGTACTGCAGTCCCACCACCATCCCGTCTCTGACAAATATTCCTGTCTTTCCTTTGCTGATGGTTTCTATGATAAGCCCTCAGTGCACAGTTGGAAGTTGGAAAGCTCGTTCTTAAACTGAACCTCCGTCCTGGTTTCTAAGAAACCGAGAAGTCGGCTATCCTTGCCTTCAGATGTTTTTGAGTAGCTAGGATACCTCCCTGTAATTAATCCTAAGCAGGTCCAGTTGGCAGTCACTCACTGTGTAAACATACATCCATTGTTTGCTACTAGCGACCTCTATTGTTGGGGATGTCAGCTTCCTTGTTAAACCAGATTACCAGGAAGAGAGTTAAGTGATACAGAGAGACACCTGGGAAGCCATGGTTAGAACAGAAAGTGTCACCCGCTTGTAATCCTAACTACTCTCCCTCCACCCCCCTGAGCTCTCGGACAGCCATCTGATCCTGTGTGGCCAGCCATCGGGATCCTGCACTTTGTAACTCAGAGGCCACATCATCTCCAAGGCAGGAAAAGCAGTCAGTATGTCACTAGGGCTGTCATTTCCTTCTCTGATGGGCAGCTGCAAGCTGTGCTGTCACCACTGTCCCTGGGAAAAGGAGAGCATTCATTTAACACTCATTGATTTCATGGCATGGCCCCGGAAAGTTGCTGGAACAGGGGAGCCATCAGAAATGGAGGCTTTTCAACCTGCTCCATGAGGATTTTTAAACCGAACCAGACTGCCTTCAGCCTGGAATAAGTTAAGACAGCCCAGGCACCTGTTCAATTTTCCTGGAAGAGAGACAGAACCGTTTGAGGCTCTTGAAGTTTGCCAAGCAATATGCCAGTTACAGAGCAGTGAGCATAACTTCACTCCATATAGATCATCTTCCCTCACCAACAGCTTCACAGGCACTTGCTAATACTACTGCTATCCAGGACATCTAACAGTGTTTGAGCGCTTAATATGCCCAGGATTAGTGCTGAACAATGACAGATGCGTAGTCACATTTAATCTTCTTAACAATGCTACAAGGGAAGTATTTCGATCGAGGCCCATTTTACAGTCCGGAAACTGAGGGTTAATTAACTTGGTCTTGATCACTCATATGTAAGTTGTAGGACCAGGAATCTAGGAGCTCTTGTTTCCAGAGACAGAAATGAAGCTAGGTGCGAAGGAAAGAGTTCTCTCCTGCAGACAGAAAGAGTTCCAATTCAGCAGTACATTTTTAAGGGAAGAATTCTCCCCGTTCTTGTGAATCTGGCATTTCCTAAGAAAAGCCCCGAGTCCTAGAATGTTCCATGTAAACAGTTTTGTCTTCTGAAGGCTTGATTAGTCACCAGGTGGCAATCAGGGAGGTGACCCCCCCAATAGTTGGGGGTGGAGCATCAAGTAGAGCTAAAATAGGCAAGGTCACTCGGTTGCCAAACAGATAGGACATAGCTGTCCCTCTCTAGGCTCTGGGTCTCAGAGTCTCAGCTCTCCTCTGATTCTCTTAGAAAAACTCTACCTGAACCCTGTCCCTAGGGCCCTCCTGTGTCACTGGGGTGGATGGTTAGGAATGTTTCTCAGACAGGCCACCGGATGGCGATGCTGTATGCTGCATGCTTTTGTTCCAGTTCCTTCTGGAGTCACCATGACAACCCCAGGCCTGTGACAACAGCATAGCCATTATCAGGAGAGAAGGGAAAGTGTCACCTTTGCCACCTTGTGAGTTGGAAGGTTCCTCCTGTGCCCTCCTATGAGTGTTTGGCATAACGTGAATCAGAGCATCCATTCACGAGCGCCAGTAAGAGCCTGGCTGTGGCCAGAGAGCTTCTGTACTGTGGCACTAGAAATCAGTCATGTCTTCTTCAATCTGGCGTCAGCAAGTTGCTGAAGGTCAAAATTCATTCCCCATATTTCATATAGGAGGGAGGCATGAAAAGAGATTAGTCTCGTTACACTTACTGGATAAAGAAATTTAGGATGGCAGAGGGTTAATTCTAATGAAATAAAAGAGAAGACAGGCATATTAATGAGAGAAGGATGCCTGGAGATCCCCCAGCTTAGTCAGGGGTCCATAATTGCTCCCTTAATTGGTCTCGGTACTAATA